CAACCTACTCCTACTCTGAGTTTGTAAAGATCCTTCTTTTCTGATTCGCTGCAGTCCGAGCACCGAAGGTTCAAAATTGCTTTCTGCATCACCTTCGGCACTCAGTGGGATTGGACAGTCTTTTTTTCGAATTTTTGATTTATTTTTTTAATCATTTTTTTTTTTTTTTTCTTGATTAGGAAACTGTTCAATTTGGGATCTGTCCGATCCTTCCCACTTGTCTGCTGCCTACCTGTTCCTCCCCCTCCAGTCCGGGTACTAGGCCAGTCTATCTGATTGGCCCATAAGTGACTCTTCAGAGTGCGGGCACGAGAGTGCATGACACTGCTCACTCGATCACAGACCAAGGCCATGGACAGGAAGGCGGGAGAATCCCTCCTGGCCTTCGAGGAACGCCTGGCGGCATTCATCCAAGAGGCCAACGATAGGGCCGCCGCCGCGGCCAAGGAACGTAGTCAGATTGAGCAAGAAGAGGAGGCCAAGCGACGGAAGGAGGAACAGGACCGACTTCGTCAAGAGGAGGCAGACCTGCAGGCGGCAGGTGAACACCGGTCACGCCAGCGGGAACGACTGTTCACGCTGGAGACCGTGATCGGCGATGAGACCGCACATTGGGTGGCGATGGCATTTGCAGACGAGGCTCCAGAGACTGAAAAAGGGCTGTCCGCCGTTGCGCAGATCTCCCACGACCTCATGGCCCACCTGCGCTCTGCAGCAGGAGGAAATCCTTCACCTGCAGCAGACAGTGGACCAGATGCTTACACGGCTGCAGGTGTTGGAGAAACAGCCAGCTGCTGTAGCAGCCGCAGGGCCTTCCAACCTTACCACCCGCATGCAAGTTTTGGAGGATGACGTCAGCAATATCAAGCGTGTGCATCAGGACTTCAGAACGTCTCAGCAAGCAACGAACTTGCAGTTGGAGACGCAGGTCCAGGCTGCTGCCACCGTGACGCCCGCCGCCGCATCCTCCCGGCGCCCACCCAAACTGGATGACATTCYAGTTTTCTGCGATCAGTCCAAGACGGAACCGATCCCGTGGTGGCGCCAGTTTACTCTCAGGCTCGACATGCACCATGTCCCGAACAACGATCGACATTTGTGTTTGTACCACCGATCTGGTGGTGCATGTCAAGCATGGTTGGACAACATCTTGACCAGCCACGGCATAGCAGTGTCGGAACTGCACACCAAGCTCACTTGGCAGGAGTTGACTGACGCCTGGCACAAGCGATTCCAAGTGGAGTCGCCCGACCTGCAAGCGATGGACAAGCTCAACAAACTCCATCAGAACACGCTGCTCAGTCAGGACTGGATTACCGAGTTCCAAAGACTCGCC